TATTTAATGGCATTCATTTAAAGTTAGAATTTAAAATCACGAATATTTAAAAGTTATTTTATACCTAGTTAAAACTAATTAAATTTTACAACTAAAACTCTAACATTTAATAAAAGTTCTTTATTAGTAGTTCTCACTAGAATTTAAAATTTAAATAATATATTTATATTTTTATAGTCTTTTGAAGTTAACGAAATTTATTTTTAACAAATTATTTAACTTTATTATAAAATAGAAGTCATTTACTTATCAAAAGTCATATTGATATGATGTATACAATATATATAACAAATTTTACACATCTTATGGTTGAATTGAATCCCAAATAATGATATAGATTAGGTGTGTCTTATCGTCTTGATAATAATAAATCTATATACTAGCTATAATAAAACAATGATAATTTTTCACGGTAAACTGATGTAACGTTTATATAGCAACTTTGCATTGTGTTAACAATAAACATATTACATTATTATTGACAGTAGTGTAGTACGCCTAATAATTAAATCTGATATTTCAATAATTGTTTTCTACGTAACGCGATCGCAAACTAGTCATGACGACTTTGGCGGCGGAGACGACTTCGACGGTGACGGAAGCAGTGGTAGAGCTGTCCACGGTCGCGTCTGCAGCGTAGAATACGTAACTGAACGAAGTCACAACAAAGCTAATTTGTACACGGAGTTAGACGGAGGGTTTTTGTTTTGATATCACCAATTTTTATCATTTATACCTCAATACATTTTTATTAATTTTGCTTCTCGAGGATTAGCATATAAATGTCTTTGCCACCTCTAGGCCATCTTTCTTTATTAGAAGTGAGATCATTACATCTGAACCAAAGGTTTGATTTTTTTATTAAACTTGTATAATGACCATGATGTAATGATTCCCCGTGATGACAAATCGCAGAACATATTCTATACATTTTTTCATCAACTTTTAAAGATGTTGTTGACAAAGATATTAATGATACATTATGCATTTTTTCTTGTAACTCATTCCATAATTGTAGTTGTATACACAAATATTGTCTTGTACTAGATACGTTCATTACTTTCGAATGGTTTCCTGTGATCCTACAATTACTACAATTTATTTCAAGTATTATTTCTTTGCTAAATTCATTAAATAATGAATTTAATGTAACTTTATTCTCACTACCTTTGCCTTGACTTTTTTAGGTCGTCGAAACAGTAGTTTTTTAGGTGACTTTATTTTATCACAAGTTTTGTTAATAATAGGAAGTTTCTTTTTTTTATTCAATAAGTACATTTCTTTATTTTGAATTCTCTTTTTGTATATTTTAGTAGGCATATTTATAAATTACTATAAGTTTAAAGTAATAAAATATTAACCCACAACTCAAAGTTAGAGAAGCGAAAATGCACAATGTTTTGCAACAATATATATAATTTGCAAGTCCAGTGTGTCGTACGCGAGGTACGAAAATAATTTAATACGGACTATTTTAACAGCAATGATTGCCAATAATAATGCGTAGTACGTAGTAATAGGTACTAAACGGTTTATAAATTATTGGTTGAGGTGCGAACACAGTTTAAAACGGAATATACCGGACAAGTCCAGCGTGAGCCGTACGCGCAGTGCGAATACTGCGAACACTAATTACGAACTATATAATTACGTAACTTTATAGCTTGTATTTTTACGAACACTATTTACTTTAATGCGTAATTAATTAATTACCAATAACGACACGTAAAATAAAAAGCATGTACAGACTAGACAATACGCTATGAGCAGCAATGCAAAGAACGTTACGTGCAAGTCTACTGCAGGCTGACGACGATAACGAAATGAAACGTAAAATATTAACATGAAGTAGTAATAATGAAATGCGACGTAGCCATAGATAATACACGTAATAGTGTGAGGCCGTAGTGGGAGACCGGGAGGGGAGACCGGGAGTGGGGGAGCGTGAGTTTGGGCCGGTCGGCACGACAACGCGAGAAGCGGCCGCCGTGATTCCAGATTTCAATATAATTTTTCATTAAAAATGTTTCACGTTTCCTTTAATAACTTAATTTCTAACTGTACGATTTTTATGATTTTTACAAAAGGATCATCTGCATGATTTTCCTCATGTTTTGCAATTTACTAGGTATAAATTGATTCAGTAGATAATTAATTATATCATCTGATTAAAAACACCGAAATTTACACGGTTTTAATGGGAAACTCCTGCTTCGAGATAATATACACTGTCGTGCCGCCGCTTTTATTTTTTTTACTTAGCTCGCGCCACGACCGTGGCGCTGGATATGAAGCATGTTAAAAATACATAAAAACTATGTTTAAATTATTACATAAGCATTAAAAGTTAATAGAATTAATCTCTAAATTAGCACTTATTAGAAATAATTGAGAAAATCTAAAACATATTATATATGTAATATCACTAATATCCAAATTAAATGATCATGTTGTATAAATATCGTTAAAAACTAATAACTTATTAAAAAAAAAAATAAATATTTTAAAATTTAATTAACATAAACAAATATTTATATTTTAAAAATCGTTATTATTTCAATGCATTATACCTAATTGATTTTTACAACTACTTTGACGAATAAGTAATAACCATTATTAGCTTATTATACATTCATTCTTATAGATTTTAAATTATACACAACGATGATATAAACACTCGAACAGCTAATCTTGACATAAATTATTACTGTTCAGTAAACTAAACTCTAACTTATGTATAAGCTTATTTTTAAAAACCTTGAAAATCGATGAATATAAGCAAATTAATTATAAGTATGCGTTTTTAAAATTTTATAGATTTGAATGTTTTGGTGTTTTTTCATATAGCTTATTTTTAGATTTTATGTATCAAATAATTTAATGTCAAATTTCTTCATTTTCAAGGAAAAATATTAAACATACTAAATTACAACAATTACCTAGGTAATTATATTTATTATATCAATGAAAGGAGGATCGTATTTTTTTTTTATATGTTAATAAGATTATGAGAATGTCAGACATACATTTAATTCGATAAAGTTAGTAAATAATTATTTATTACTTATTAATAATTAAAATAAACGTGTAAATTGTATAACCCATGTCCAATATGCTTATGAGACTTAGGTATAACCCATATGGTTTCCAGCTACTTGCAATCTGACCTTTTTGTCCGTCTAATTATGTATTAATGATATGTAGAATCTGTTGTTCCGAGAAATTTACCAATAATATTATATTAATTATAAATAGAAAAATATAAATCTGTGTTACGCATGTTTTCTAAAACTACTTAAACAATTATTTTGATTTTTTTTATTAAAGAATAAGTACATTGCGGTGCAGATTTTAAGCATATTTCTAATTCTATAAATTATTTTTTAAGTAATCTGCAAGTATGCACATATAGATACATTTTTTATTCATCTGTGTTACTAAATATTAGTTATTATTAGAAATTAGTATATAAGTGAATAGTTGATCTAGTATAACAGAACAAAATGTTTTTATTGTTTTTGGTTAATACTATTGGAAGTGTATGAGCTGTTGGTATAGGGTCCAAAATTAAAAGGAAATCCCTAATTTGATTTCAATAAAAAATAAATTTAAAAAAATTTAAAAAAAATGCTTCTGTTAAATGGTCTAAAAAAACAATGCTGGGCGAAATGGCTATGTAAAATTGATATATCGGATATATCATCTATAATCTAAATTAAAAGATCAAAAATATTATTTATTCACATGCGTTACGCCAAATGTTACCATTTTAACATGTTGGCAACAAAATTTAATACGGATGCATTTTGTATGGGCAACAAAGTGCACGGGAATACCTAGTAATATTATAATTTTAATGATCCTTAAGTCATTATATATTATTATAGTATTATCAATTTTCTTTAAATAATTAATTGAACTAATTATTATTAATCGGATAACTTATTAATTACTTCAAAGAATTATCTGACGTGATCATATTAAGTATAACTCGTTGCGCTAATAATAATATTAAATATTCGGTCGTCATTTCGTCAATAGCCAATTACCCACTGACTACTGTAGATTGTAAAGAATATTCGAGAACAAAATATATTAAGCTGGAATCTGGTAAACGCTAAATTCCGTTCGAAATATTGATGAATAATTCACAATAAATCTTCCCTACCGTTTTTACGCCTCATCATGGTACAATGTTAGTGAAGAAATTTGTTTACAAAAGATGGCCGTCCAATAAAAGTATCTGTTCGTAGACCGTAGCACCCTTGGACATACTTAAGAAGGTTATTGTGTACAGAATACAGATGAACAAACAGCTGAATTCTGTCAGAAATAGATATGTTTATACTATATAGTAAGTCCCATGCTGTCACACAAATCCACCGTACGATGTTTTTAAAGAATGTTCTAGAACGATAATATTATAATATTCATAGCCACTCGGGAATATAAACTCCATCTGTACAGCAGATATCATTTGGATTTCTTATTTGTTTATTTATTTAATTTTTTTTTTAATCTACGTTTTTAATAACAAACACGTTTTCTGATTCGATAGGTACTTACTACTTATTAGTTATTACCAATGCACAACTCGTAAGTTATAATTATTATTTACTTCTCAAACACTGCCGATCAATATACCTATATAATATATTATATCTGAATCTATTATATTGGACCTGAAAGAATTGAGCTACAATAGAGAAACACGGAGAGCTGCAACAAACAAATTTAATAAATCTACGAACTTATGAAAAAAAAAAAAAAAATAAATATTATTATATTATAAAAAAACGTGATTATAAAACATAAAGTGGTTGACTCATTGTCCATCAGGTAGCGACGTAGCAAATAGTGTACTCCCTTTCAGAAAATTAGATTCGTTTTATCTCCGTCAGATCGCCGTTATCTACCGCCGACAGTCCGTTATGGCGTTATCGTTATCGATCGTTATTATTACTATTATTACTGTTTTTTCGGGCTTTCAAGACGTTTTTCCGTCGCGTTCTTGAGTCTTATCGCGTAGATCGTGTTTCGACCATTCCGTACGTTTGCGGTTTTTAAGCAGATTCTGTCTAGCCGACAGCCATCGCTGCAGCAGTAACAAAGGCAACCGCTCGTCGACGGCTATTGGACATTTTTCTCTTGGCCCGAGTAGGTTTCACATTTTTTGTGTCCGCGCGGTCTGATCGTGTAGAACGCGTCTTTTGCGAGCCCTACGTGTGTCGTTTGTCCCCCGATTCCGTTCGTATACGTCGCCGTCGGATTTGAAAAGTAATGTATTCCAGGTTCGATTAGCCATTTTTACTTGTTAGGCATAAATCTAGTTTAGCGGCTTCGCTAATTTTTCATTTTTTTTTTTTTTTTTGAAACCCATTTAGTTAAGTATGCTGAAAACAATGGTAAAGTTAGAATTTTACGGACGGATTTAGTTTAAGAGTTATAGCTATTTGAATTTGGTTAATATATAATATGTGTCATGTTAATAGCTTAATACGAGGCTTAATATGATGTTACTCATTAGTGTAATGTATATAGGTCCCCCGTGTTCGATGCTTGGTGAGTGCTAATAAGGTTTTTGCACTTTTTCTAATTGTTTTTATGATAACTGATATTAGTAATTATCCTGTGACCTACTTGAGGTGGTGTTGTATAGAAAGTCAAGGGATATTTTCGATTTGTGAAGCGAAGCGATGGTGTCGAGAAGCAAAGCGATGGTGTCGAGAAGCGTAGCGACGAGTGTCGCAAAACGTGTAATCACTGCCCATACTACGACATAACTTAAAAGAAATCGAAAAGACCTCAAGTAGGTCATAGGGTAATTACTACTTGTTGTATCGGGTATCATGAAAACAATTAAAAAAAGTGTAAAAACTTTATTAGTGCTTACCGAAGTCGAATTGAGGATCTGTCGCACATTACATGGCCCTCAGTACCATTAAACTACACATTATGCTATTGAGTAACTATCAAGCTATTAACATAACACATATATTAACCAAATTCGAATAGCTATAACTCTGAAATTTAGTCTGTTCACAAAATTCTGATTCGCCATTGTTTTCAGCATACTTAACTACATGGGTTTCAAAAAAAAAAGTGAAAAAATTAGAGTGGCCGCTAAACTAGATTTGTTCCCATTTTTATTATTTCATGTATTTGTAGTATTTTCGTTTATATTAATATTTTTTCAAGGTTTTTTTTTTTTTATTCAATAAATTGAATTATTTATCTGTATTAAATATGTATTGTTTAGTTTTCGGTGCCTTAACACTCAGACATCTTCATGACTGCAATAGTACTGTCTTGATAATGTATAGTATAAAATACATTAATGTGTATAAAATAATTGTGCATATAATGGATCACATAACTGACAAATGTCAGATTTTTATATATAATTACAACATATCACAATACTTTTGCTTTTGATGTTGTGATAATGCTTTTAATTGCATTTGAGGTCAGTGGTATTAATTAGCGACTGTGAGTTTGTTAAATATAAATATTTAATAAATGATATTAAAAATTACAAAAAACAAATGTGATTATAAATTATAGCCTCTGGTATTATACATATTAGATATAGAAGTATAATTCTACAGGATTTCAATTATTGTACATTAATGCTTTATGAAACGTTACTATTATGTGTTTTTTTTATAATATTGATCATGTGAGTGCAATACTATTTAATTTTATGCATACATTTGGTTTGAATATTATTATAAACTCATGTAATACGTACAATGTATTATGTAATTTATATTTTATAGATGTTAATAGTAAAAATAAATAAATTACAGCATAACACATAGCTTAAAGCAGGGGTCGGTATCTTTTCTAGTGTCAAGGGCTAAAAAATAGTAAAAATAATTTTTATGGGCCATACACTTTATTATATTTACATTTTAAACAATGTTTAGTTTAATTTATTTAAGTTTCATCACTATTTGGTACCTATATTAATTTAACGTTATATATATTAACAAAGTTAGGTTAGCAACTGACATAATATGATATTCCATATTTTTATACCAATTTTAAATTGTAATCATGGGCCACAAGTTGCTGACCGCTGGCCTAAAGTATCGTTTATAAATTTATAATTCTACAGGATTTAAATTTTTGTATAGATTTAATTAATTATATAATTTAATATTACCAAATAAATACTTAATTATTAAACACAATAAATAAATTTATGTATGATATTTTAAAACTCTATGAATACAATCATGCACTATGAAACCTTGCTAATATGAAATTCTATTGATCAGGCAAGGGCATACCGTTTAGTTTTTTGTATACATTTGGTGTAATATCATGATTTATGTATATGTTATGGGCAAAGTAGACTATCAGGCTAGGTTTACATTGCCCGGACATTATGGTACTGCCAGATTATGATGGGCAATGTAGGCAAAATTATATTTTGCCTGGGCTGTATAGATTTGCCCTGTCCAAATTTGGCAATATAAATCAATTTTCTTGAATTATTAAATTTATAACTGACTCTATTCTCACAGCAGTTATTTATTCTATTATCTATTTTTCCTCCAATCAATGTTTCATCAACTTCACAATGATTTCCAGTATTCATTGATGTTGTAGTCACTTTTAAATCTTCTTCAGTTTTTAATCTATTAATTATTAATATTGGATGTACAATCATAATTTTAAATCTTCGTTTAATTCAATTTTTGGACTACATTCAAACATTGCTTCTATACTCTCATACCAATTACTTATAAAACATAAATATAAGTGTATATAATTCCAAAAATATACGTACTAAATTGACTGTAACATAGTATCTATCCTCCTCGCAATATTAACTCTTTCTTAACTGTTTAATAAATTTAAAAGAAAAATGTATTCAGATAGAAAGTTTTGTTTCTTTGAAATAATTCATTAAAATTTTAAATGAATTCCATTTATACTGCCAGATACATTCGAGGCATTCAAAACGCACAGTTAACACAGAAGTCCAATATTTTCCCATTGCTCTTAAATCACTATCAATCAAATTGCATATAGATTATGAAGTTACAGAATATGTCATATACCTTAAAGTGTCTAACGTTTCAATTGGTCTTTTTGTTTACCATCAAAATATTTAATAACGATAGAAAATTTTTCAGAATGTACACTTGTTTCATTTGCTAATATTGATATGTATGAATTTTACATGCTACTTTTAATTTTTTTCAGAACAACATTGTATATGGATTTAATAATATCATTTTGAATACGATTACTTCTGTATAATGTATTCCTTGCCCCATGTTCAAAATGAAACCAAAGAAGATTATCATATTTTGATAGTAAGTTCAAAAGTTCACTAAAAAGTTCTTGGTTATTACTTGTTTTACTCTCATCATGTTCTCAAAAAGGTCGATCACTCTTCACTAAATAAATTACAATATAAATAAGATGGTATATAACTTTTCTATTTTCAAGGCGTTTTCTTCTTTTTTACTGATAGCTGCTTGACAAGACGTATCAAATTGATAATCAATCGATTTCAATTTTAAATAGTTAGATAAAGCAGTTAAACTATTTGTGTAATTTTGAGAGTATTGATATTTTTTAAATGCTTCATTAGCATGGTACCAAGTTCTAAAACCAACTTTAAAAAGGCAGCATCATATTAAGTACTATTTTTTTCATTGCCTCTGAAACATCGACAATGAAAACTAAATGCTAGCAGAACTATATTTCAATCATTCAAATTTGTTAAACCATTCTTTCTTAAAGGATCTAAGTTTATATCCTTGTAATGTTCATGGGTATATACTCAATACTTAAGTATATTTTTTTAAAATAATTTGCTGAATTCTAATTAATTTAAGGGTAGCGGTTTTATGAGATCATATACAGTCACCACATTAGCTGAAATTAAAAGAAAAAAAGTAGATACATTGAAGTTTACAATTAATATATTACAATTAGTTAATATAGTTTCTAAAAACTGGAATTAAAATAATTACAGATACTTTAACACATAGGTAATTCAATTTAAATATATGTTTGTTTCTTGTGAAAAAAACATAATAATTAAACAAATAACTATAAATATATTTTAACTTCAAAAATTCTGGTTATTTGAAATTAATTAAATAATTATCTTTCATTGATCAATTTAAATAGATTCTTATTAAGTTATAGATATCTCATCTGGTGAATAATCTCATCTGTTATCAAAAACATTTTTACTATCTAATTAGGTTTAAAAAATCTCAACAAAGTAAATTTATAAAATTATTAACTTACAATTTTCAATTGCAGGTAAAATTTCACAATTATCACTAGATGATATTTGAGATGATGATGGTATTGGTGTGCATTATTCTGATGTATCAAGGGTATTATAAATCATAATATCAGTGCAATTTTAATACATTGAAATAAAAGGTAATTATGTTTATATTAAACAAGTAACAAAAACAATTTTTAATTGTTATTAGGTACTTATTATTAATTATTATAAATTATACTTAAGAAAATAGTTAAATAGATACTTTAATTTTAATTTTTAACACTACAACTGCTAACTGATTTAATTACAAATCACATTATTTACAATATTGAATTTATAAATTAGCTCAGAATCTAAAATATAACATTTTAATAAAATTGTTGAAGAAAAATGTTTATCTTCTTCTATTGATGTTTGAATCTCAAAATTTTCATCATGTTTTATTTTATTTGAGTTATGTTCATTTAAATCTAAAAAAACAATATACACAATTCATTATATAATAATAATAATAACTAATAAGACTGATTATTATAATACATAGAATAGACTATACGTCTCCATATTTCCATAATCAATGTTAAAAATAAATGTTATTATTATGTTCATTGTGACATTGTGTAGAGTGTACAATTTAATTTAAGAAATCATATCAAGTCCACATTTTATACACTTTTAATAGATAGAATAATGAGTGATATAATATGGTGCAGTAGCCAGTAGGTACGTAACATTTAAACTAAAAGTTTTACAAATTTTAGATGCGAAAAATAAAGTTTTTAATTTTAAATAAATATACTATGAGGCATTTAAAAAAAATCACTATTATGTTATAATCCTCCTTTTTACCTATATACTATATTATTATAGTATTTTATAAAACATGCAAATGTATTGAGATTAATTTAAGATTGATCGCGCTCTGGTGGTATAAATTGTAACTAATGCAACTGGGCAACTTCGGTGTTATTGTTATTTTGTTATAAGAGTGAATGAATGTGTTGTTTCTTTCATAGGCTCAGGGGCGGATCCAGGAATTTTTTGTGGGGGGGGGGGGGCACACATTTTGTAGACATTTATGATTTATGTGGACCAATTACATTGGTCTTCCGATTTTTCGTCAAACTTTCCATGTAAGTTAAAATTATATTTATGTAAAATTAAAAGTATTTTCCCAAATATGTTTATGATTTTATTAATATCTAAAAATGTAATAAAGATAGGTAAGATAGATAAGAAGTAGGTATATAAAAATAATGAATCATAATTACTATTTATGATAAAATAAATACTTTACTTAAGCAATAATTAGTTTAAGTATTAATATACTTTAAATAGGTACTACATACTTACTATTATATATAAATGTGTGTGTTACCAATTTATCATTTTGAACTAACTTACGTTCAAATAAAATTAATCACAGTTTAATTCAAGTAGGTATAAAACTTTATTTTATATTAAATAATCAATAAAACAAAACAGAAAATAAAATAGTTGTTACTGTTATTATAACTTCATATATAGGTGCTTAATTATAAAATAATCATTGTACAGTTAATATAATTACAAAATAAAGTCCAATTTTCTATTTTTATCATTAGCAAATCTATTAATGATATTCTCAATATTATTATGAATATCAATATTTTTGTGAATGTATAACAAAGCTAGACCAGTTAACCTTTCTTCGCTCATTCTAGATCTTAACCATGTTTTTAGTAAACGTAGAGAAGAAAAGCTTCTTTCTGCTGTAGCAATAGATATTGGGAGAGTGATTAGAATTTTAATAAATAAAGAAAATACTGGAAAATAGTCACAATCAAGCTTGTCTAGAAATGTTATAGCTGATGTCATAGTTGTGAGGTCAGTATCTGATTTTACAATAGATAAATAGATATTTTCCAATAGATTTAATTCTCCTTTTAGTTTTTGTTCAATAGAAAATATAGATTCACCAAATAACTCACTATATTGATTAGAAACGTCTTTAATTGATTGATTTAACTGTTCAGTGTTTTTGAAACATTTCATGAGATTCGATGGCATCAAAAAATTAAGATTAAAGCATTGCATATTATCACTAGAAAACCTATTATCAAAATCTTTTATTACTTCATCTAAAATAGGAATATAAATTGATGTTCTCCAGTAACCTTGACTGTCTTCTGGGTTGACTTCAATATTATTTCTGTAAGTCTGCCTTTTAGTAGTCCTTGGAAGTTTTAGTTCAGTGCCTAATTTTGACATCATTTCAACAACATTATTATATATAATATTAAAGCACTGATTTGCATCGTTTCGTTTTGTACTTCGTACTTCTCTAAGTTCTTTTATTCTAGTAGTAGCAGAAAAAAGGTCTAAATTTTTAGTTTGAAGTAATACGTATACTTAAAGGTCGTGTTAGACACATTATGTCATTTTAAGAGAAAATACACATAACAAATTCACTGTCTTGTATAGTTTTACACAATGAATTGGCTTTTGATGAAGTAGATATATCATGCCATGTAGAAATTTCAGTTAAACTTTTCAATATAATTGGAAGGTCATTTATAAATTGTAATACAGAATCATGCCTTTCAATCCAGCGAGTTATGCAGTGACTAGTCAGTTGATACTCTAAATGTTTTTTTTAAATAAAATTTCTTTTAGCTGAAACATTGAAAAACTTTATTATTTCTTGTATAGTTCCAATAGCGTTTCTTACACTTTGAATCTTATTTTATCTAGATAAATTATTATTCAATGAATGATTTAAACACGGACATATTAAAGCATTCTTGGCAGATTTTTGTATAGTAATTGCTGCTCCACATATTGTCGACATATTAACACTGCAACTATCACAACCGATTCCTACACATGATTTTAAATCTAGTCCCACACTTTTCAACTTTTTTACAACTGTTGAACCAAGTATTTCTCCTGTAATAGTTGGTTCTGACTGTTGTAAATCTAATGTGTTACTTTCATTATCTATATCAAAATCAAGAGCATCTGCACTATAATTGTCCTTATGAAGATCAACAAAACCAATAAAATCTTCTCCGACTGTATTTTCATAAATATATCTTATTGATATACTAAGCTGAGATATGTGAGATACATCAGTTGTTTCATCAAACAAAACACAGTAATATTTTGCCTTATGTATTCTATTTAATAAAATACAAAGAACTTCATTACCACAATGATTTATTAACTCATTTGTTGATGTTTTACTAATATACGTAGCATTATTTTTAGCTGTCTTTAAATGATTTTCCAAAACTTTATTCCCACTATCTATTCGGAATCTTAATAATGAACGAAAATTTCCTTCAGTTGCAACAGGACTATTATTTGTATTAAGTAATAAACCATCATCACGATGGCCTCTTATAGGTATATTCTGTTGTCCATGTAAAATTAAAGTTTTTATTATTGGAACAAGTCTTTCTCTATTTTCAATAGCCTGTTGTTTACGTGAAGTTTCAACCTGATTCCGAATATCATAAGATGGATTTTTATATACTTGAATAAATGATTCACTTTTAACTATTGCCAACTTATGATACTGAGTTTGAGAATGGCAGTCTAAGTCTCCATGTTTTCCTAATAAATTAGCAAATTTTATAAGGGGTTCTGTCACCAATTTTTTAACAGATATTGTTTTTTGACCACCTACTAGAATATCATTAGTAAAAATGGCGCAATTTTTGCAAAAAAGTCCTTTTTTCACATCAGAATAAACTAAGTAAGAATAATTAGATAAATGCTGATGATTAGGACGTCGCTTTTCTTCTCTATTGCGTTTGTTATGTACAAAAAAAGGAAATATATAATTTTTTGGAGGGACCCAGTGATTTTTAAGAATCATAAATTTAGTAAAATCATTAATAGAATATATGTGGTCTATATAGTTACCAATATCATAACTTTCCGATGAAGTAGTAATATCATTATTATCATCAATAATACGTTGCGATTTTATTGAGCTCGTCGAAGCAGAAGTCAATAAACTATTGAACGACAAACTTGGAATTAAAGTATCCATTTCTTCTGTTGGTGCGACACTTTCATGGGTTTCATGCAACTTAATTTTTTTTTTATAACAAATTTGTCCATTATAGGTTTAGAAATATACCGTTAATATTATATAATATATTATTATACCGTTAATATAACCATTTAGAAATAATTTAACATAAATATAAGTAACCACGACATAACACAGCTAGTTCAATACTGAAACTATTTTTTGTACACTTGTACACAATACGAAGAAAATCAGATATTGTTGTTGTATAATTTAAATTTTAATCTGATGAATAATGAAATATTATATGTATAGATATCTATTTCAATTATTACAATAACGGGGACTGTGCCGTACGTCGTGGCCCGAAAATAATCTGAATGGAATATTTATTTTTAGATATAATTCAAATACTTATCAAGATAATATTAATAATACGTAAACACTACACATGTAGAAACTAGAAATATCCTCGAACCGCCGTCCGGCGATTCGGAATATAAAAGTACGTCTCATTATTATTTATTAAAAAGTACTTCATTACGCTACACACAATAATTTCATAAAAACATTTTACAATTTTTAAATTGTATTTAAAATGTAATTTTTCAATTAAATAAAAGCTGAGGGGGTGGCGCGCGCCCGCTGCGCCACCCCCCTGGATCCGCCACTGCATAGGCTTATGATTCATTTTATTTACATGTTTTATTATTATAATTAATATTTATAATACAAAATACGAGTGTCTATATATTTAAATTTTATATTAACCGACAATATTGATACTTATAAACTATTAAATAAAACATAATGGAAAATAGCGGCGCTAAATTTTCACCCCGTCCAAATAAGTCAAACCAGTTCTGCTCAGTATTTGGGTGCAATTCACGATCCAGGTGAAATCCAGAATTAAGATTTCATCGTTTTCCTAATGAATGTGAACATACTAAAAGAGCACAATGAGAACATAATCTTAGAAATGGAAAGAAATTAACTAAGTATATGATGGTTTGTTCATTACATTTCAACCGTGAAGACTATATATTACCAGGTTTGTAAAAATGATTTAAAAATAAGCAACTAGGTAGGTACTTACAATAATTTATTATAATGTAAAAATGCATATGTATATTTGTTTAGATACACATTCAACAAAACGGTATTTAAAGAAAACTGCAGTTCCTACATGTAATCTGCCAACACTATCTACATGCAGAGTAATCAGCTCTAAAGAAAAAGAACAAAATAATTCAAGACTATTAAGGTTTGCAAAAAGAGCAAATTGTCAATTAAAATTTGAAGATTGTGAAAATTATGATATAAATATTATTTATGAAACTTTACCAAATACTCCAGTGAACGAACATCTTGATCTACCAACAACTAGTGATGTGTCAGTCCAAGTTACTAGTGGTGACATAAAACTGAACATTTTAACTTTAATGGACACTGAGCAAAAGCTAAGTACATTAACAGGTATTTCCTCTTATCAACTTCTTGATAGCTTAGTTGAAAGTATGCAACTTACAAATCTAGTTTCCAGTCGTAATCAAAATATTATTTCCCTTAAAGAAAGAATCGTTATGACAATAATGAAATTGAAACAAAATATGTCCTATTCAGTTTTAGCTATATTTTTTTATTGTTCTAATGATAAATGCAAGCGAATTATATTAAATACTATTAATATTTTATCACTTATTTTGAAACCAATCATTTCTTGGCCATCTAGAACGGAAATAAAATGCAATATTCCAACATGCTTCAGAAAGTTCTCAGATACTAGAATTGTTATAGACCAGGGGTGACCAAACCGCGGCTCGCATCTTATCGTAACCTTTTTATAAAAAATTTGAAAACATGAATTTATGTATTTGAAAAAGTATAATATTTTATTAAATTACAGTGTATAGAAAAATACGACATAACTAATTTTTTAATGCATCAATAACTCCTAATAAACTCCAAAACATCAGAAATATTGTGTAGAACGTGCTTTTGTAAAATTCATCAAAATCGTACGTTTAGAAATTAAGTTTTAACTTACAAATTAAAAAATGTGAACTTTTTAATGGAAATTCAGAATTGTGATAGTCGTCGTCGTCGTCGTATCGACCGGTTTCTCCACTCGATTTCGTGTATATAACTAAAATAAACTTATATAAACTAAAATATGATGACAACTATCAGATTCAGTGCCGAGTGTTGGCGGGTCATAAGTCATAATACTTATAACTATGCATTCTTTTTGTTGTCTGCCGTCGTTTGTAGCTATCGTCTATATAGCATCGTTTTTCAACCTTTTTAGTGTCGCGACCCCCAAAATAGGTATAAAATATAGTCAATCACTTCGCGACCCCCTCTCCATCTAGGTTAGGTAAACATTTAAACAGTAAAAGTATCCTATCATTAACCAAACGAAATGTAACATTTTAAATACCAATTTATAAATACCATGTCTAGTAACTTAAGCTTATCAAGTTTGAACGTTATGTATTGGGTCGTTAAGAATTTCCATTAATAGAGTAGTGCCCGTTTTGTAAATCAGCGTTTTATTATTTTTGACCTGTGCGACCCCGAGTTATGATGTTCGGGACCTCCCCTGAGGCGCGACCCCCTGGTTGAGAAACGCTGGTCTATAGTATCTATACTGACTATACTCTATGTTATAGTAGCATGTTCTATTATTAAAGCGTGTTAATCGTGTAACTGTTCGCACATCACGTATAACTATGATGTTGGTATTTATTGGCATTAATTTAATTATAAATATGTCAAATAAGTTGCAAAAAAAAGAGCTCAATATAAAGAAATGTACTTATTAAAAAAAAAAAAACTTGACACATTATTAATAAAACTATTGCTAAAAAAATACAGATACATCATCATTACTATTATTATTATTTGTATTGATAATAAAAATTGTGATATCACAACAAAAACCCTTCGTAAACTACCTGTAAAAATGGCAGCCTAATCAAAGACGTTGGCATGCGTATTATTTTTTCCCCGTTACGAACACACTGTCAAATGTCAATAGAAGCAACGCTCTTGTCGACGCATTCTTGTCCAGTCATCGATTTCATCATAGTTGAATTGTTGGAGGTTATAGTTGTTTGCCGTTCGATGATTTCTTGTTTTTTTTTATATACTTAATTATTAAGACACTGTATTGCCGCCTATAGTCTTCGTTATTCTGATGTTCACGGTTTTCGTTTTATTTGATCCCGCAATCTGGTAGATTTATTCAACGCCATACATTGATTCTCGTTCATTTCATTCACAAGTTTTGGACATGAATAACAGGTAAATAACAATTAGTATTTATGCATATTCGCGGACCTTGGACATCCCGTTGACTCGGTCTTTACCCTCTGTTTTTTATTGTTTGCAAATATTATCCATCCCCATATAATCAGCGTGTGAATGAGCCACTGAGGTCTGTGAATTGTTTAGTTTTTACAGTTATTTTGACGATGTCGTTGCTGTTATCGTCGGCCTGATGTATGACAGTTACGGAAAAATGTTTGTTCATAAATATAATAAATTACGAAATTCATTAATAACGGATAAATAATTCATCAATAATTTTTTGATTGCAAACCGCTTTAGAGTTGACAGTATTAAATGTTAAGTCTTACTTTTGCTATATAGTCCTAAACAGTTAAGCAGAATATTATGCAATACACATACAGGGCTGTTCTGAAAAATAAATTATGATAGACTGACTCATTCATTTTTCATCTCTAAAAAAATTTTCTCACTCCACTTAAATTTAATTAATATTTAACATATATCTCATAAACATACAAATATTTAGTATCTATCTTCGTTAATCTAACTACATTTTGATTTGAGTAACTGGGTTGATAAGTGGTTATATATTATTTCTCTTAGCTATAGCAATATTTAATAAATTACCGAATTATATTAAGTCAATAAATGATAAGATATTATTTAAAAAATATATATATGCTTTAGAGAAATAATCATTAATATCAATAAATTATACTTTTCGGTCACGTTTTTAATTATTAGAGTACCATTCTGTTTTTATTTATTTTTATTCAGTACTATGGTAATAACTTTCACTTTCATTAATTTAAAAAAATTTTGTTAATAATGTATTACTTGTATAAACAATATCTGAAGTCTCCTTCCTCATCACAAGTATGCTTAAGAAGAGGGGTAATTAGTCCAGTTCGTATTGTCATTTAATTTGTATTTATGTATCTTACCTATGTTGAGTTGAATAAATTATTATTATTTCTAGCCATAAACAAAATTTATTAAAGATTTTTTTTTAGTATTGATACCTTAGTTATCAGTTATCACATAACAATGGGAACATGAAGTTAAATTTAATTAAAACTTGCAACATAAAATTTTATGAGTATTATTTGATCACTAATATTAAATAATTTGTATGTAATAAAATATTGAATTTTAAAAACTGAATTCTTTTTTTGTTTCATATTAGAGAACTGTGATAGCTATTTACCTTACATCAACTCCATCCAAAATAACTTTTCAATATTCAACAGCATTAATATATATTTTGTATGACAAAGTTGAGCAAAAAATTAAAACATGTAAATATTGACAGACTGATAACATAAAATAGAATAAAAATAAAATAAAATAAAAATTAGGTTAATGGTGATAGTAATATTAAGACAGATGGTAACTGTTATAGCTGGGAGTTATTTGAAACGATCATAAATTAATGTTCAGGTTTAACAGCATAAATAAGTCTAACCTATTATCTGACATTATTGACTTTCAATGATTTTTGATAATTTTAAGCTTCTAAACATCCGTTAATTGGTTGTAACACACTTCCAGGCGCAGTTAATGCTAATCAACAAATACTATTAGTCAATAATAGTATATGTTTTACTTTATATACAAATAAAAGTGGTTGTTATTATCAATATTATTGAACTCAAATGTTTTCATATTTCTTTCAATAGAATGGCTTGAATTGCTTCGATATCTTTTCAACTTAGCAAAATTATTATTGGAAGGAAATATTAATTTAGTATTTTGCTTATTCTCTATGCTAATATTTTCATTCTTGAATGGAAACGATAACATTTTATATAGTGGCATTATTGTATTAATAAACAATTTTAAATTATCCTTTGATAAATTAAAAAGTGTAGAAAGTATACATTTTAGTTCTTTTTTATAAAATACATGAAAGGCTATATCAACTCAAATGCCTACATTTTGGTCCAACGTGGGCCGGTTTCTTTTATGGTGATGAAATTTGAAATCAGATTTTCATACTAAGATTTACTGCAAAGGAGTTTGCACTGTTGATCAAATCATTTATTCTATCTAAAATTGAATTAATGTCTTGTAAATTTTTTAATTGTAGCCTCCTATCAAAACAGCAGCATTAATTGTACATAGACTTTTCTTTTCTAGTGTCTCAGTTAGTGATTTAAATTTGTACATTATATTTTTCATGAATATTAAGAATACAATGAAGTAAATCGAATGAATCTTTTTGTTAATACTAAATGATTTTATCTTATTATTTCTATCAAACATTATAAGATGTGAACAAATACTTTTTGAGGTGTTACGTATAGCTTTGAATGAAGTCCAAACAACTTTAATAGGCTGCGCAGGCTATCCATCTTGTTTTGAATAAATTTCTTAATTGTAATGTTATCAACATCCAACATTTGTTTATTTAATACAATATACCTTTTATTGCTAGCTTAAATAAATATGTATAAGTACGATCATGTCTGATTCAATTAGACTAAAATTGCATGCATGTTAAAAAAATTTGGTATGTTTGAGATAGAATATAAAAACCACTATAACCACTCAATTCTGAAATCTTTGCTTGTGAACCATTGCACTCCCAGGACATGTTACTAGCATAATCGTTTGAGCAAATTATCCGTACCTTAAAAGTGTTTAGTTAAAATTTCAATTATATGTTAGCTGTTCCTAGGCCAGTTTTGTCTACTCCTTCAGCTATTTCTAGAGGTCTTTCAATTACATTTCCATCTTCATTAACATAATGCAAACAAACTGCCAATCGATCTTTGTTTAAATTATTTGGGGTTGTATCAGTCATAACTGGTTATAAGCTTGCTTCATAGACTTCTTTTTCAATAATTCTTCTTACTTCATTAATTAAAATATCAATTAAACTCCTCATTTTGCAAATGTGGGTCAAAATGTGTGCCATTGTAAGATTTTTTATTTTAATTTCTCATTTAATTAACTATCGCATTCCATGCATTCCATTTTAACCCGTTTTTTTCTTTTATTCGCGTCACTCATATTGTTTTTCGTATAATATCACGAGATCCAAGCAAAATAATAAAGTAATAATACGTTTTTACGCTGACCTATGCGTTTACAATTTATTATGATTATGATTAGTAATCAGTAGGGCTCGAATTTTAAAGCATAATAAATAACAAAAAAAGCACAAAATTGTTTTAAAA